CGTGTGGGGAAGTTAAGCACACCCCCACAACGCCCTAAATCGGTACTACCTAAGTTGATAAGTTTATATGAGTTGAGTGTATTTTTAGCAACATTCAAAAAAGCGCCATTAGGCGCACGCCTAGGCTTAATTAGGCGTGGGGCGTTGAAGGAACGTTGAGACTTGGCCGTAGGCGCTGATAAAAGCGCTGGATGCACATAACTGGTCGGAATAGTGACTAAGCGGCGCCTAATTGGCGATGAAGCGGGCGTAGGAGTTTGAAGCGGTGGTCGGCGTGGGCCATCAAATCCAAGGACGCGGAGTTTTTGCCCTCCATCCTGCCACTCTAGGTTAGAACCAACAACTCCTTGTTCGCAACTACTAGGCGACGCCTAAGCTGACAAGGCGCAAGTCAGGAGGCTAGCACTCGCCTTACGTCTAGAGCTTTTTTGAACCTTGATTTTTAGTAATAATTTTGTACTTTTAGGGTCCCACTGGACCATTATATGATTTTATCGTATTAGTTTAAGATTTAATTATACACCCAGTGACGTAAAATTTAAAAATAAATTTAGTTGATTAGTTGGACTTGAACCTTTTCGGTTGCCTACGTACCCATAACACGGAATCAAAGTCCACTTAGTTCGTTAATGTTTTGATGACTTTAAATATAACTTTTACCACGTTCCACTGATGGTGGTTTCTATATTAAAATATTTTGTTAATAAAATTTAAATTAATTATTATGAAGTTATGAAAAGATAACAGGATTTCAGTTATTAAGAAGATATTGATGTATCAGAAAAGAAACAGGATCAACATAATTTGCATTCAAAATTTCATATTAAGGATATTAAACAATAAAATGACACGGAATGATGAAATTTACGCTTGATGGGCCGGCAACCCAACTGGGTAAAACGATGATCTTTAAGCGCTTGTGTACACTGTGATCCGGGTTTGAAACTCGGCTAAGGTTTATATGGCTCCGTTTGACCGTTTTTATAAAATAGAGTATTCAGGGTATTTTGGTAAATGGCCTAAAAACACGGTGGCAAGGAATCATAATTTTAAGGAAACCCTAAGGGCAATCTAGTCATTTCGGCCATCGGGCTTTATAATCGTCTCTAAGACGAAACCCTAGCCGCTAAGCCAAAATCGGCCGCCTCCTCCCTCACCTCTCTCGTTTTTTCTGCAAAAAATAACGACGACCTACTTCGCCTCTCTCTCTCGATCCTTCTCTCCTCTTCCTCTCGATTATGCTTTGTCCCCAGAAAACAAAAACTTCATTCTCTCTAAACCGCCGCCATTCCTCACCTCCCTCTTTCTCCTGCCTTCTATCTCGAAATCGCAAACGAAAGAAAAAGAAGAAGACCCGATTTTGGTCTCTCCCTCTCTTCTCGGCTCTTTTCTTTCCCAAAAGGAAATGACCAGCCTCCTCTTCTCTGCGAACAAACGTTGCCTCTCTCTCTCTCTCTCTCTCTCTCTCTCTCTCTCTTGGGTAATGAGGAGAGCAAAGGCGAATGGAAAGGCGGCGACGGGCAGACTGGCGGAGCCTCGACGACAACTGATTGAGGTAGGGTCATCTAACATGTCGATTTTGGGGCTTTTTATTTATGTTACTTAAGATTCTAATCTGGATTTTGTGTTGATTTAGGATTTTCTGGGGTTTTCGGGTCTCTGGTTTCGGTGGGGAGAAAGAGAAGTGAAAAAAACCTGCCGATGATGAGTGTTATTTCGTCGATGGCGACTAGATCTGGGTAAGATGCATGCTTTTTTGTTTAATATTGATTTTTTTTAAATTTTTCTGACTCTCTCTATGTTTGTGGTTTCTTTTTTATTGGGCTCCGCATCTGTGGTGGGGAGACGGAGATTTGCCGGCGGCGAGGGGGTTTTGACTTCGCCGGTGATAATAAGATGACGATGGGAAAGGAATTCACAAGGTTAGGTTTTCTGTTTTTGATAATCGTATTTGGTCTTTATTTCCTGGTTCTTCTTCTTTTATTTTCTAATCTAGGATTTTGTTTTGGGTTCCATGTGAGGGGAAAAGAGGGATTGCCGGCGCTTAGGCCTCTTCAGCGGCCAACAAAAGAATAATCGCACAAAGAGGTAAATGGATTTTCTACTCGTTTCTAACTTGCCTTTCTAGTTTCTATCGATTCTAATCATTTTACCTAAATTGATGCAGGTTATGGAAAGGCCAGATCTAGGTAATATCCTTCTGAACTTAGTTTAGCTTAACTGGGAAGTTTAAGGTAGGAGAAAAGATTATGTTGTCGTGGATTGGAAATTCCTAAAGATATCGAAACTTTAGAAAATAACGATGGTTTTGATATGCTTTTGACTCTTAACTATGCAAATTAGTTTTTTAGAAACCCAACTAGATTTAAGAAAAACTGACTCAATAACCATCGCCGCCACTGCTTGCGATGCCTAAATTGAACTTTCACCAATCTTATTATTATTTGCAAGATTGGATTTTTTATGCTCTATTAATTCAAAATTGTGGGTAAAAGAGGTATTTTAAAATACCTCCCTACAGTTGGATTTTGCTCAATCTCTTATGTACATATGGCATGAATCTAGTCAGCTTAAGAGTTATTCCACTATTGTTTTATGAAGGGCTGGAAATGGATTCCGTAGGAAGTTTAACTAGACTGAATCTGAATCTGAACCTGTAGCTTGATGTTTAGAGTGTTTTTATTTAGTGATGGTATGCAAAGAAGGAACAAGCAAATATACCTAGCTAAATAAGGTGTTAAATCAATAAGAAGAATGTGTATCAAAGTATGATGGATAAGCATCCAAAAACTTATCAGATCTGGGCCAACATACATGCTGCAATAGGCATAGATGAGATAATTTGACACCTAGTACATCTAAGAACATAAACAAACCATATCTTCATTTCCTATTAACATAAACAAACAATAGGAAACGGAGGACCCTTTCCTGGGCAGCAAAGGAGACGCTGATTAAGTCCATTGCCTTGGCTTTACCATTGCATGTCATGTCTTGTTTCAAGATGCCTCTATCATTGTGTCGCATATTGGATAAGCATGTTGCTCGTTTTTTTGTGGGGTGATGAGGAGGGGCATTCGAGAATTAGATGGGTGGCCTGGCGGGATATGTGTAAGAGTAAGCATGAGGGGGGAATGGGCTTCCGCCGGTTTGAGTAGTTCAATCAGGCACTTTTAGCCAAGATCGGCTGGCGTATCTTGGTTGAGCCCCAATCTCTTCTAGCTCAAGTCTATAAGGGTAAGTATTTCCCCTCAGGGCATTTTCTCAATGCGAAAGCCAGGTCTCGTCCTTCCTGGGGTTGGCAAAGCATCCTGTATGGTCGTGATTTGTTGGAAATGGGCCTTAGATGGAAAATTGGGAATGGGCGCTCGGCGTCCTTGCTTCGATCCCCCTGGATTCCTCAGCTACAGCTTGATCCCCGAGATATAATCTGGTGGTTCTTCCGGTGGGGGGTGATCCCACGGTGGGTGAGGTAATTTGTCAGGGGGAAGGGCGTTGGTGTGATTCCAAGCTCAGCCTGTGGTTTGATTCCAAGCTCCGCCTACGTGCCGTATTATAAAAACTATTCCCCTCCCCAGGCAGAATCTTCCCGATAAATTGATATGGCATTTTACTCCTGATGGGGTGTTCTCGGTTAAGTCAGCCTATCATTTGGCGGTCTCCCTGGATAGGAGGAGGGGGCGATGGAAGGCGTTAGCTAGTTGGATGGATAGATCTAGTTGGATCAGGTTATGGGAGGCTAATATTCCCCCTAAGCTGAAAGTCTTTGCTTGGCGAATTCTCACTCGAACTCTCCCCACCATGGAGGCCCTTATTGAGCACAAAGTCCCTGTCCTTGCTCGTTGCCCGGTCTGTTGGGGTGGCCCAGAAACAATGGAGCATCTGTTTCTGGATTGTCCGGTTGCGCGTGAGCTCTGGGGGCTTTCCGGGTTAGAATACCTAGGGGAGGGTTTGCCTCGCCATACTTTCCCTCTGTTTCTTAAACGCTTAATGGCCTTAATTCAGCAGCCGACGCTCCTCATGGCAGTAGTCTCTGTCCTTTGGCGCATCTGGCGTTCGAGAAATTGGGTAGTGTTTGAAGGGAAGCAGTTTGGGTTCCCCGCGCTGATGAGGCAGTTTTCCCAACAATATGAGGAATGGTTGGGGATGCCGGTGGATGTGCCCATCGCGCCTTCTCCACCGGCGGTTCCACGGTCAGGTGGACCGGGTCAGGCTGCAGGGTTTATTTGCCAGTGGGATGGGGCTACCAGGAAGGGATCGCATTCTGCAAGTGGCATGGGTCTTCTGGCTCCCTCGGGGGATGTTCTTATGGCTCACGGGTTTCAGTTTCGGGGGGTTGATGACCCAGTGGTCGTGGAGTTGCTTGTGCTCCGGGAGGCCATTACTTGGTGTGTGGGTCAGGGATTCACGGGGATGCGCTTCGAAGGGGATGCCAAGGTCATCATTGATAAAATCAACTGCAAGGATGCTAGGGATAACCGGATGGGTGCTGTGCTGGAGGAAGTCTTACATTATTTTGGTAGCACCCCTGGGTTTAGTGTGCAATTTATATGTAGGAGTAGTAATAGGGTAGCCCATTTGGTGGCTAGGAAAGCCCTCTCTTTGTACCCGACTATGAGTTGTTCTTTTGATTTTTGTACCTGGCTTGGATCCAGGGTGTAACTATCTTTATTTTGGGATCAATATATGATTATCTTTTGTCAAAAAAAAAAAAGTTAGTTATGAGATCGTTATGCTAAGATAAAATAGAGCTTCACATGACATTTACATATAGATCTAAAATACTCAACCATGGGTTATGGATTTGTATAGATGTATGGATGATAGATATGGTTGTATGATCACAATGGAAAAGAAGCACCAACCTTGTTCTTTTGTCGTTTGACGATGATGATTGCTTGTTGTTTGTCCTTTGTTCTTTCGATCAACTACTCTCTTCTCCTATCAATCTTGCTCTGTATTTTTGTGCTATTGTTCCCCCTGTCTCCCCCCCCCCCCCCAACCCTCTTTGCTGAAATGACCTCACATATATATTAGCCCTTTTTACTGTTCATTTTGGTGTGTTGGTAGTTTTTGGTTTGCTTCTACAAGTGGTGCCCGTATTACTCTTTTCAAGAAGAGTGGTTGTAATCATGGTTGGCCCTTTGGGATGAGATAAGGACCAAGGACTCCATTAACCCGAGTTGACCGTAGTTGACTCATTGACCGGGCTGGACTGGATTGGTTGACCGGATTGGACTGGGCTGAAAATTATGGGCCTGGATTGGATTTATGCTTTGAGAATTGGGTCTAAATGTGGGTTGCTGGTGTGGGCTGGCTTCTAATAGTTTGTTTTTCTTTCTGAATGGCTAAACATTGCCCTAAATTTACTATTATCGCCCTAACTTGAAAAATGAAATTACGTAATTGCCCGTAGAAATAAAAGCCGCAAACGAAACGCATCCTAATTCCTAACAAAGACCACTCCTCTCTCCTCTAAGCCGCCGACGCCTGCATCCACCCAACCTGCCGTCGACGTTCTCCGCCACAAAGCCCCCCAATCCCGCTTCCTCCATCCCGCCGCTGTCGTTCTCCTTCAACAGTCACTCGCTACTGTTGCCTCTCCTCCAGCCGTCACACTGTCGCGGTGCATCATCTCCTCCGCCCCGCCGGCGACCTTTCTCCGACGTCCTCCCGCATTTCAGGTAATGGCGATGTACTAGTCAATAAACATAAATTATTCAATTGTTACATTCGATGCTGCACTTTTGCTGATTTGGATATCATTTGAAGAGTTTTTATCAGATCCCACATTCAGATTCCATTCCCATCAGGGGAATTGTTATGAAGAAGATTCTTCAATTATGAACCTATGTATTTGGTTCTGGCCATAAACCAATCGTGCGATATGTTCTTTTTTTTTTTACTGCGACGTCGAATGTCCATCCCTGTCCCGCTCAACAACCCTATCTCTCTCCCCCTGGAAACTCTCAGATGAGGAAATATTTTTTTAAAATTTAAACAAAAGGGTAAAAATGTAATAGTATATTATAAGTTAGGGCGATTATAATAAATTAGGGCGACAATTAGCAACTCCCTTTTCTTTTTGCAGGTCCTTGTTATGTTTCTGGCCCAAGATGATGATCTATGGAGGCCCAAATAGCCTCAAAAGGCTAGACAGACCTCCAATTCAGATTGGTGCCCAAAAGAAAAAGGAAGAAGTTTTTTCTTTTTATTTATTCTTAATTTCTTGTTTGTTTATCTTTTAAATGTAATAATTATTAAGTGTACATTTATACTTTGTAATTACGCAAGTAATTATTTTTGTGACTTATCATTAGAATGATCATGTAATTATTTTTTATGGCCCAAACATTCAAATGATTCTTTCCAACCCAATTTGTTTGCTTTTTTCCAATCGTAACCTATATCCCAACTTCTAAGTAAATAGTTCCTAACTATGAATTTTGCCCAATATAGTAAGCTTACTATGGTCTTCTTATCCCCTTCGACCAATTTCAAACCTATGTCACCAATCGTTAACGGCGTACTACTGTTGTCCTAAATAAAGCGAATTTGGTAGTTATTAGCCACCGATAATCTTACCTAGTATAAATTTTAGAACTAAATAGAAAAAGTGAACTTGGAAATCGTTGGTATTTATTGATTTGTCATTGCTAATCTCAACCAACCTCGCTCAAACTTTCACTTCAAATTTCCTTTTTGAATTTTAAATAGAATATTTTTCTGAGTTCTGAGTAGGATGATTGCTCCGGACAAAATGTGGTGTCTACAAGTTGCTATCGAACTTTTTCCAACGAGAACTTTGAGGATGATGGGGAAGAAAGAAGATGGAAATTGTCAGATTGAAGAGCAGTAATGGGTTGAAAAAATGAGGGAAAGAAGATGATGAGTTTATGACAGAGACAGGGATGAAATTAATTAGAGCAGGGTCCATTTTAGGGGTTTTGAAATAATGTAGAGAAAGGGAATAATTGAAGGAGGAGATAATTCAATAAACCCACAGTTGGGGGAATTAGTTGCTTTAATAGAAACATTATTGAACCAAAATTTCATTAAAAAAAAATCAATGGGGATACAGATTTGTTGAAAGATCGAGGGACATGGATGGTTGTGGTTATACGAGACAAAGAGGGAAGTTTCATATTGCGGTGATTTGAAGAGTTAGAGTGCAATAGGAGCTGGAGATTGCAGAAGTCATGACGGTGAGGTATGGTATGAAAATGGCAAAGCGTTTCAACTTCTCTGTTGGCGAAGTGGAATCAGATTGCCAGCTGGTCATCAGGCAGCAAATGAGTCACAACCAATGATTGAAAAACAGTATCGTATGGGTGGTTTTATCAAGAAAATCTATAATTGGAGGCTAAATTGGTAGGCGGTATTTAGTGGTATAAAATGGTTGAACCACGATTAAACCGCCATTTTAGCCTAAAATACCCCACAACTTGTGAAGAATTAAAGGAAATTGTCCAGTCTTTTGAGCAAATAATGTGGTGCTTTGTGGGCTGGGAGGATAATAAATCGGTCCATACCATGACCCAAAGTGAATGAAAGCGGGATGCGAAAGATGTATGGGTGGATACAGTGGCGCATGGAGGTGTTGAGGAGAGGGGTTCTAGACTTCTAGGATCCTACATGACAAAAAAATTGGGTCACAAAATCCTTTAGACACAGGGTTTAGTACGATCTTTCAAGTTTAGTACCCCATAATTTTGTCAATGTTAGCTTAACCAAGGATACCAATTAACTCAAAATTCAATAGATGTTGGAGTACATCAAGTCAGGATTGAACTTTCAAGACCGTTGCTAAATCAAAGGATGAGAAAAGAAACCCTCGTTAGAATTTGCTCACCTTCCTTTTATGGGTTTCAACGGCTACTTAAGAACAACCTATATATTTTAGTCTTTCAATTGTAATTAAGCACTTAGAATAGTTGCGATACAGAGCTTCTGGGATTCTAAGGGACTTGGGCAATCAGAGGAATAGGTTCTGATTACTTAAGGGTGGTACAGGTCTGGGATAGGATCTGGCTTCTTCTTTGAGTTCTTTCTAATTTGTTTCATTTTGCTTTTATAGGTGAAAACATCAAATAAAAAATCCTCTCGGAACGTAGCAAGTGCTATCTCCGAGACGAGGACTGACCTGTAGATTGGGGAACCTCGTTAAAATTGCCTGTGCTTTCTTTATTTTTCAGCTGTGTCGTGTGGTTTGGTTTTCTGTTTACTCTGCTCTCTGTTCCGTTTTTGGTTTTGTTCTGCTCTAAGGAAAGAGGAAAAAGTCTACTCCTCAGTATTTGACATTTACTGGGCTTGAGAGACTCGTTACTTCCCTGACTACAGCCCACTGTGTTTTGTTCTCTTAAGTCCTTTTGGGCTGAGAAATTCTTCGGCCCAGACTGGCGGAGAAACTGAATACGAGTGTCATAGACAATGCATCTCCATATTCCTCTCCTTCCGTAGTCTGCTTCCCCAAATTCTCTGAATCACTAGAATTTCTCCATTCTGTGTTCTGATTTCAAGTGGTATCAGAGCCATTCCTTGTGAAGCTCACTGCTGCCAAGGCAACGATCTCATTGCGTCTTCTTCCTTTGGTCAAGCTTCCATAATCCATCCGCCCATCTTTACTGGTGCCAATTATACAGCATGGAAGAAGCGGATGAAGCAGTTTCTCTGGGGAGTCGACGAAGATTTGTGGCTGGTCGTGCAAAATGGCCCTATTCTAATGAATGAGGACGAGCAAAATATTTGGTCCGCTGCTCAAAAAAAGAGTGCACAGTTGAATCAACATGTAATGCATATTCTTCAGTCCGCGATGCATCCAGATGAGGCGGATCAAGTCGAAAACTTCGAAACTGTCAAAGAAATCTGGGCTGCCTAGAAAGAACTTATGAAGGTACCTCTAATCTTAGGGAATCTCGTATTGATCTGTTGGTTCATGGATATGAAGCGTTTAACATGCTTTCTAATGAATCCATTCATGAGATGTATTCTAGATTCACTTCTCTAATCAATAAACTTAAAGGGTTAGGTAAAAATTTTCAAACTAAGGACCTCAATAGGAAAATTCTTTGATCCCTACCCAAAGAGTGGTTACCTAAGAGGACTGTTATTGAAGAAGCTAAAAACTTATCTATACTACCGATTAATGAGCTGATAGGATCTTTACTGAGTCATGAGCATGTTCTTAAACAGGTTAATCAAGAAGATGATAAACGTAAGAAAAATCTGTCTTTTAAATCACGAGCTGTCAGTTATGACTCTGAAAGTGATTCTGAATCTTATTTTGATCGTGAATTTGCCTTAGTTAGTAGGCACTTTCACTGTATGTTAAAGTATAAGAATGATTAGAAAAATAAGTCTGATTTTGCTAGCAGTCTAGCAGATCGTTGCAGCACTTCTGGTAGTTGTCAGTTTGTTGGTACTTCTCTAGTTTCCTGGTATTGCAAGAAACAAGGTGTAGTGGCTCTGCCAACTCCCGAGGCAGAATATATTGTTGTCGGGAGTACATGTACTCAACTTTTGTGGCTCAAACATCAGTTGTCTGATTATGGTTATTCCTGCTCGTCCATACCTCTCTTTTGTGACAATACTAGTGCTATTTGCATGACAAAAAATCCAGTGCAACACTCTAGGACCAAACACATTAAAATTAAATATAATTTTATACGTGATTTGGTTCAATCAGGCAATATTTCAATTCAATATATTAGTATGGAATTTCAACTTGCCGATCTTTTTACTAAACCCTTTCCTGCAGATCGATTCACTTTCCTATGTTATGACATAGGATTGCGATCTCTGTCTTCAATTACTGAATTAGTGGGATCGTAATTTCGATTCATTTCTTTCATTTTTTTTTTGGTTTTTCTTAGTTTCCCTGGTTGTGTGTGTTTATTTTGGTAATTATGTCTTTTGTTCTTTCTTTTTGGTGTTTTTTCCTTATTGGTATTAGCTTTTCTGGTTTTTTATATAGTGTGTCTGTTCGTTATTTGACTCACCCAGTTCCCATCCCCTCGTTGTGCTACTACAATGATCTACACTTTCGCTCTTACCTACTTTGGCACCCTCTTCCATGAACCCATTCCCTTCAACTATTATCGCCATAACCAATCCTTTGCTCACTGCCCGATATCCCCCACCATTGACATTCCTCTACCCGACTTCATTGATCTTGGCCTTGACTTCTGTCATCTGGTCCATAACCTCGGGTGGGGGTTTCACATTGATGACACTCCATCTCTTGTGTGTCCTTCTGTTGTGCGTTACTTCTTCTCCAAACCCCACTACTTTGGCCTCCATTCTCGCCCCTGTCGTCCCTGGTGGCAGGTCATCTCATGACTCTTCCTGCTAATGCCATCAGCAAGTTCCTGAATTTTCCTGCCATCGGAGAAAATCTTGCTCACGTGTCTGAGCTTGGCTTGTTCAACTTCAACATCGAGACTGAGGCGCTTCGTCTCCGTGGACAAGTTCCTTGTCATGACGGCCCCCTTCCATCTGCTGTGCTGCTTCCTGTCATGCAGGTTTTCCACTACTTTATCTCTCGTATCTTTTTACCTCGCCATGACCAGCTTGATAGGGTAACTCCGTTGGACCTGTGGATCATGAACCATGCCACTGCTGTTGTTCCATTGGACTCAGGGGCGGAGCTACACAGTCCCTTGGAGGGGGCCGAGAATTTCAAAAATCACATATGAATACTCGGGAATTCTGAAGTTTGCGAATTAACTGGACCGTATTTAATTAATTAAAGCGTGTGCTAATATGATACACAAAATCCAAGTTGCCCAGCGGAGCATTGTTATCTTGTTAGTTGGGTGATTGGTGTTT